CTTAACAAAAATCTCAGGACCAGTTTGGTGCAGTGGATAATGAATTACTTCAAAAGGGGGAGGGAGAGGAAGTACAATTTTCAACTGAAACATAATTTACCTTTACCGCCTCGCCTTTGTCGCCTTTATAGCCCTAAAATATATTGTAAAAAAACAAATGGTAATATGCTTGAATTTGGCTGGCAAAATGGCTGTTGCTGGCTAAATGTCAGTACCAAAGTGAGGACGGGGGGAGGGTCTGGTAGATACATCGCAAGTGCACATTCACTATAGTCTACTTCACGCGCAAGGCACCGCGCTTGGGTCAAGCCTGCCGCGAAGCACCTGCTGAACATAGTTGAAACTGGCTGTCGAACAGCTTAGGATTGCATTAAGGCATTATTTATGTCATATTAAAGTTAACTGACTTGTGTAATTTCCAGTTTAATGTTTTGGGATATTCTTCCATACGAAACAGAATATGAACACATACATAGTCCAATTCTTGTGACTATGGCCTGTTTATCTATTTTGAGAGTCACGAAAACGCTGCCCGACTGATTCTTTGACGAATATCAGTGCCCTGTCCCCGAGTCCTAACAGTACAGTAGATGGGTTATCTCATGAAATGTGTAGATCAAATTTCGAGTGTGTGGTTATTTTTCATTCATTGAGTAGATTGAGGCTCAAGATAATGTTTACCAGAAAATAGTTCAATTCAGAGCATTTAATTGAAGGAAAAGGTTGGCCAACTCGAGTCAAATACAAGTTTTCTTGATACAAAAGGAATTTTCTATGCAATTGAATGCTGCCGACCAAAACATATTGCTTGTGTGTGTTGTACTATAAACAAACAGTAACAAGAACCAGAAACATTTTTAATTATATTTGTTCAGAGAACGGAAAATTTTGTTTTGTTTTCATGAAATTAAGACAAGTAAAAGTATAAGATAGCACATTATTTTAGGGAGAAGGAGAACGGATTCAGTTTCAAAAACATGTTGTTCCGCAAACCTTGTACGATTAGTGTCACTAAATTAAATAATAGATTAATGAGCCCGAAAGTTTCTTTTACTACGCTGAAAATAGGAGCCGTAATCAATCATATATATGGACACCCGAAAATGCCCTTAGTTTCCTCTGTTACGCCGTAAGCAAAGGGGCTGAAAACACTTACTATCTAAAGAGCAGAACCAACGAATATAGAACTTGAAGGGCAGAAGATTATTAGTTTGCTGAAAATCGTAGTTTACATTCTGTCACTCTGCTGTACTTTTTAACTCTTAAAACGGAACTCAGAAGTAAACAAATATACACATCATCGAAAAGTAAGTTCGTCAATTTTCAGCAGAGGACTTATCCCTAGTTTTTAAGGAAATACAAACTGGTTAAACTTTTCGATTTTGACCTCGACTTAATCTTCATAAGTTAACTTACGCAGATATTCGACGCCGAAATATCTAATAAAAACGCTTTTTCAAGAGGATACGTGTTATACATTGTTTTGTTATTAATTGCGGGCATATCTTATGGCCACTTTTGTTGTGGTCGTTCAATTTTCTCGGCAATGAGTTGAAATGTTTGGGTGATTCTTAAACCATGATATCTTATCTTATTTTGAAGTTTTTGATAAATGCCTAGAACAAATAAGCTATTTGTGGGCAATCTAGGAAAACACTGAAAATCGTTAAATGGTTAACACTGTAAGACAGGCATCCCAAGAAATATAATTTCAAGGAAAGGCTTCCTTTGGCAGGTCGTCGTCAGGCTTGAGAAAATGTGCAAAGAATAATTCCTCATTTTCACAAGGAATACTTTTCCTTGAAATGTTAAACACTATTTCAAGAAAGATCGGAACCTCGTGGCATTCACTGTCTTGGAATAATTTAAACATGGGACGGAGAGAAATCGCTCTTAGTTTACAAAAACGGTAGGTTTAAGATTACACCTAATATATCCGGTCAAGTTAATTTTCCACTGACCAGAAGGTCCATGTGTAATCTTATGAAATACCTTACACACCTGACGCCCCAACTGGCACAGTGAAGTGAACATATGGTTGACTTAGTCCAACTTATCGGCAGGAGGATAGAACTGTTTCTTTGGTATGTGTCCACTGCGTTCCAGTGCTGCTCTGACCCCGCAGTATACGATGCTTTACACTCTGCGCAATGTGGAAGGATAATCATCCGAAACATTTCACCAATGCACTACTGCTGCTTTATTCACTCTGTTTTGTTTTGCATGGACAGACTACATATACACTCAAAAGGTACGTTTACTAAGTACTCCCGATTTTACACTTTATGGAATTATATATTTTCTCAAAAAGACGACTTTACCATATAATGTTGCTTGATAAACAACGATACGCCCTTTTATTATTAGGATGTTTACTTTTCTACTGTAAGATTTTGGGGACAGCAGCATGGACTAATTGGGCGTACCAGGGTTTTTCTCGTATAAATGGTTGAATTTTATCAGTTAGCCCAGCTTCTGTATACATCCCCTGCTCATCTTGTCTGCGGCATTTGACGTCGTTAACAAAATCACATTCCTTTATGTCCATCTACAGAGGCACTAGGACAGCTCTATCCAGCGTAAGGAATTCCTTAACTTCCACAGGTTAGTTTCCTTAAATATATACAAAACTTAACACAGGGTTTGAAATTGGTGAATTAGAACTCCAGCAGCTGCAGAGTACACTTCGTGCAAATGGATACGCAGAGAGACTCGTCCTCTGGAGTGTACCGCCCTAATAGCAATGCGCGCTTTATCGGTCTACGAAAACGCGAGCTACACGCGTGGTTGAGTGTCATTGGTTGGGATAATTACGTAATCGATAGATGATTGGCTTATCGATTTTTGCATGCCCTCGCGCGCGGCGGACACCATTTTGACGTGGCGCAATCTGCTGATTAGACGCACAAGCGAGTTCTGGTTACCGTGACAGTAAATCCGGTAAACCTGTTGTTGTTTTGCTGTTTTCTTCAGTGTGTGGAAGCCCCATCAATAAGAGCATAACGACGACGTGCTTTGCACGGTTATCTTGAAGATTTACGTAAAACTGAGCAGGAAACATGGGAAATTACGAGATTGTCAGACTGTGCTGACTCTTCTTGCAGTTCTTTATCTAAAAATTCAGACTGTAGCACATCATCATGGGAGGAAAATAGTAGTTGGAGCAGTTTGACATCCCAAGAAGTAACCGAATAGTCAACAAGTAACCCAGCGATGGAGCAAGAGCAGAGTCTGAAAAATGCTTTGTGGTCTTGGGAAATATACACCAACATCCCGATAAAACATCTGACAAAACTCCTCACAAGTTTGAAGTGTGTTGCCCTGAACTACCAAGTGATGGACGTACGCTTCTGGGAAGGAAAACCAAGCGTACAAAGGTAACGGCAATGGGTAGCAGTGTCTATGTCCACATGGGAATTGTTACAAATTTAA